GTAGAAGATTATACTAGAGAGTTTGAACAACTCATGATGAAGTGTGATATTCAGGAAAAGGAGGAGCAAACAATAGTCCGGTACCTTGCAGGCTTAAACACAGATATCAGTCGTCCAGTCCAGCTTCAACAATATTGGTCCTTGGATGATGTCATCCGTTTAGCCCTGCGTGTTGAGAAGTAGATACCCAAGAGGTCCACTTTCCAGCCTTCGTCCTCTAGGGGTTATCCAGAAGGCCATAAGGTAGAATTCCAGCAGACCAACTCCTCAAGCAAGCCACAACCTATTGTTATGCACAAACCACCATCCAATGTTGCTAAGGAATCTGTCTAAAGCAATCAAATGCTTTAAATGCCAAGGATTTGGCCATTGCTGCAGATTGTCCTACTCGACGGGTTGTCACCATTAGGGAAGGACCAGGGTATGAAGCACTTGAAGAAGATGAGGAGGATGCTGAGTTCTACGGCACTAATCCCGTATATGACGAGGAGGTCATACCTACTGATCAAGGAGAAGCATTGGTGCTTAGACGAAGTCTGCATACAACAATAGTCAAAGAAGAACCTTGGCTACGACGCAACATTTTTCACACGTTGCACGGCCTAAGGAAAATTTTGTAATGTCATCATTGACAGTGGAAGTTATGAAAATGTAGTATCTCACTACATGGTGGAGAAATTGAAGTTGCCAACACAAGATCATCCACAACATTACAAGCTTCACTGGCTCAACAAAGGGAATGAGGTAAAAGTTTTTAGACAATGCCTTGTGACCTTTTCTATTGAGAATCAATATTGTGATGAAGTTTTATGTGATGTCGTTCCTATGGATGCATGCCACTTTCTCTTGGGGAGGCCATTGCAATACGACCGACATGCTATGCACAACGGGCGAGTGAACACCTATTCTTTTACGAAAGATGGTGTCAAGTTCACACTAGCGCCTCTACCATCTAGTGAGATTAGCCAATCTTTAAGGGAATCTAGTGTCTCGAAGCTGTTAGTGTCTTTGATGACTAAGGAGGAATTGAAGGTGTTGAAATCCGAAACCCAAATGATGAGCTTTATTCTGGTGCTTGAGGTGAACAACGAGATGGCCAATCCACCTAGAGTCATTCCGCTATTATCAGGATTTCCAGATGTAATATTTGATGAGATACCACTTGGGTTGCCTCCCATGCGAGACATACAGCACGCCATTGACTTCGTTCCAAGAGCAGTCATTCCTAACAAGCCTGCTTATAGGATGAGTCTCCAAGAACATGCCAAAGTCCAACGGCAAGTTGAAGAGTTGTTGAAGAAAGGGTTGGTTCGAGAAAGTATCAGCTTTTTCGGTACCTGTTCTTCTAGTACTTAAGAAGGATAGAAGTTGGAGAATGTGCATTGACTGTCGAGCCGTCAACAAGATCACTATTAAGTATCGGTTTCCGATACCTCGGCTTGATGATATGCTAGACCAGTTGCATGGTGCCACTACTTTCTCCAAAATTGACCTTTGTAGTGGGTACCATCAAATCAGAATTCGGCCAGGAGATGAGTGGAAGACTGCTTTCAAGACCAGAGATGGCTTATATGAGTGGAATGTGATGCCTTTTGGGTTAAGAAATACCCCTAGCACATTTATGCGCCTGATGAATCAGGTATTGAGACTCTTTATTGGTAAATTTGTTGTTTCCGATACCTCGGCTTGATGATATGCTAGACCAGTTGCATGGTGCCACTACTTTCTCCAAAATTGACCTTTGTAGTGGGTACCATCAAATCAGAATTCGGCCAGGAGATGAGTGGAAGACTGCTTTCAAGACCAGAGATGGCTTATATAAGTGGAATGTGATGCCTTTTGGGTTAACAAATACCCCTAGCACATTTATGCGCCTGATGAATCAGGTATTGAGACTCTTTATTGGTAAATTTGTTGTTTCCGATACCTCGGCTTGATGATATGCTAGACCAGTTGCATGGTGCCACTACTTTCTCCAAAATTGACCTTTGTAGTGGGTACCATCAAATCAGAATTCGGCCAAGAGATGAGTGGAAGATTGCTTTCAAGACTAGAGATGGCTTATATGAGTGGAATGTGATGCCTTTTGGGTTAACAAATACCCCTAGCACATTTATGCGCCTGATGAATCAGGTATTGAGACTCTTTATTGGTAAATTTGTTGTTGTGTACTTTGACAATATTCTTATTTTCAGTAAGAATCAAGAGGAGCATTTAGATCACTTGTGGCAAGTTTTGCAAGCCTTGCGTGAACAGAAGCTGTATGCAAATCTCAAAAAGTGCACCTTCCTCACCAGCGAAGTTGTGTTCTTGGGTTACATCATTACTGCAGAGGGTGTTCGCGTTGATCCAAGCAAAGTTGCAGCCATTGATAGCTGGTCAATTCCAAAATCTATCCAGGAGGTTCGAAGCTTCCACAGATTAGCTTATTTCTACAGGAGGTTCATCCGTAATTTTAGCTCAATTGCTGCACCACTTACAGATTGCACCAAAGGAGAGAAGTTTCAGTGGACAGAGCAAGCTCAGAAAAGCTTTGAGGAGCTTAGGAAGAAGTTAATTGAAGCTCCAGTCCTCGCTCTTCCTAAATTTGACCGAGTGTTTGAAGTTAGCTGTGATGCTTCTAACACCGGCATTGGTGCTGTCTTAAGCCAGGAGGGCCATCCCATTGGCTTTTTTAGTGAGAAGCTCAATGATGCAGAGTTTAGATATTCTACCTGTGACAAGGAATTCTATGCCATTGTTCGAGCTCTCCAACATTGGAGTCATTATCTCCTGAATAAAGGGTTCATATTTTTTTTCGGATCATGAGGCTCTCAAATACTTGAATTTCCAGCAGAAGATCAGCCGCAGACATGCTTGTTGGAGTGAACTTTTACAGTCTTATCCATTCCTTATCAAACATAAGGCTGGAACTTTGAACTCCGTAGCTGATGCCCTTAGTCGTCGCCATGTGCTACTTACAACGCTGCAAACCAAGGATGTTGGATTTGACCTTGTCAAAGAGTTGTATCAGGATGATCCTGATTTCTGAGGAGTGTGGGAAGCAACTGTAAATCAACCTTTCCACCAGTTCTATAGACACAATGGGTTTTTATTTTGAGGTAAAACCCTCTGCATTTCACAGGGTTCCTTGAGAGAAGCCATAATTTGGGAAGCACATGACGGTGGATTAGTTGGACATTTTGGAGGGGATAAAACAGTTGACCTGGTGAAGGAGTACTTTTGCTGGCCTCCACTTGAACGGGATGTCAACAGGCATATACAAAGATGCAGAATTTGTCACTTGGCTAAATCCAAGGGTCAGAATACTGGACTATACATGCCTCTGCCAATTCCAGAAGCACCTTGGGAAGATATAACTGTGGATTTTGTTCTGGGTTTACCACGGACTCAGAGGCAAAAAGATTCTGTCATGGTAGTTGTGGATCGTTTCTTAAAAATGGCCTATTTCATTCCATGCCAGAAGACCAACGATGCTGTTCAAGTAGCAGACTTGTACTTTAAGGAGATTGTGCGCCTTCATGGCATTCCTAAAACTATCACTTCTGACCGTGATGTGAAGTTTCTTAGCCACTTTAGGCGAACGCTATGGAAAAAGATGGGAACTAAGCTCCAGTTTAGCAGCGCTAGTCATCCCCAGACAGACGGTCAAATTGAAGCTATAAATAGAATTCTTGGTAATCTTCTTTGCAGTTTCGTGGGGAAGAATTTGAAGTAGTAGGATCTTATTCTTGCTCAAGTTGAGTTGCTTATAATAACTCTGTCAACCAAGCAACTGGGAAGTGTCCGTTTGAAGTTGTTTATGGCACTCGTCCCCTTAGTCCACTAGACTTGACTCCTTCACTTGATAAGCAGCAATATAGTTCTGATGCTGACCAAAGGGCTAAGGAAATTAAGAAGTTGCATGAGCAAGTTCACGAGTGAATCCAAAAGCAGAATTTGAGATACAAGGCTCAACGTGACAAGCATCGAAGACGGTAGACTTTTAAGGTAGGAGACTTGGTTTGGATACATTTACGAAAGGAACGGTTTTCTAAACAGCCAAATGCCAAGTTGTCCCCAAGAGCTGATGGTCCATTCAAGATAGTGCAAAAGATCAAACAATGCTTACAAGGTTGAATTACCTGGTTCTTATGGTGTATCTGCCACATTCAATGTTGCTGATCTATCTCCTTACATTGATCATGATGCCGAATTTTAACTCGAGGGCGAGTTCCATTGACCTCGGGGAGGATGAAATAGAAAACGGCAGAAATGAAAGCTGATGAAAACGGCAGAAAACGAAAGCTGATGAAGTTACTGAAACGTTCTCCATTTAAAAGCATTCAAAACTCATTTGTAACCAGTGAATCCCCCGTTTTAATTCTGTTGTTTCGTTTCTGTTTTCGTTTGGCCATAACTCTAGTATAAATAGGCCATGAATCTAGTGTATTAAGGAGCCAAGTTGAAAAATAAACAAGAGTGCAATTTTTTCATTCGGTTTCTGTGCCAAGAACCTCCTGATCTTCCTAGGGCTGGTGGTGAGAATCCAAATGAGCTCCACCAAGGTCCACATGGATGCCCTCAGGTGCTGTACAAGAAGCCTTCCGGGATCCATCCCAGAAAATGAACCTTAAATTTTATTTTGAGCTTGATGCTCTAATATCATGTGGAATTTGAGAGAAAAATATTTCTCATTAATTTGAATACTGAGTACAAGCTGACTCTATATACATAAGAGGGAAATAATGTCTAATAAAACCTAATAAAGACTATTCAAAATTTCATTACAATAAATACTAAATATTTCCACAACTACCTTATTTAGGGATTACTCCTTTTTACAAAGTGAAAGGAGAAAAATGCAAAGGTTTTAAAGTGTAGGAGGGAAAACGTTTATTAGAATGGATTAATTTATGTCATCTGACAATTATATGATTGAGTTTTTGTTTTATAGCTTAGTTGCTTCAATTTATCTAAAATGTGTGAAATGCTGTCTTGGGGTATTTTTCTATGTCAAGGGAGTTGATCACTTTCGACAAGCTTTGGCGATCTCGCTCCATTGTGTCTCTGCACACTATGGAATTGCTTTTGGGTTGCTTGGTTTTGCTAAAAACTGCATTAATCGGGGCGCTTATCGGTGGGGAGCTTCAATATTAAAGGTTTGTTCTCTTCATATTTTTGTTAAGTTGGCCATTTTAATTTTGGCACTTGTTAAAGGTAGAGTTAACCATTTTGGCCACTTTAAGGAAGCCTCATTGATTTGATTACAGGAGGCATCTCAGTTTGCTAGGACATGTACATATATTGTTAAAAATATCTCATGTATTTGGACGTTGCTTGCTGATATTCAGGTACCATTTGTTTATTCAATTTTCAAAGGTATTGTTTGTTGTTAATGTTTCAAATACTTGCCAATATGTTGGCAGCATAACATGGGCTATTTTTTGTTGCTTATTTGTTATTCTACACTATTTGGTTTTGGCCTGTGGCAGCTTGCATATGCAAAATGTTTTCCTTGGATCGATGAGATTCAAGAGTTGGAATCTGATGAGGCTTTCAAGGCTTCCATCTTGTCATGGAGGAAGGCCTGCTCTTTTGCTGCAAGAGATGCTAGAGTTTCGTATCAAAGGGCCTTGCATTTGGCTCCATGGCAAGCTAACATCTATGTTGACATTGCAGTAACTTCAGATCTTATTATCTCATTGGATAATGATCACAAACAAGACACAAATGCATGGTATGGCTTCACTAATCTGAGATTTTTCCTAATCTTATTTACTCTTATGCTCCCTCAACTTATTTGTTTTGGCAGGCAGCTATCAGAGAAGATGTCTGTGGGGGCCCTGCTGCTGGAAAGTGACAATTATGAGTTCTGGGTGGCATTGGGATATGTGTCTGATCATAATGCCCTAAAGCAACATGCTTTAATTAGAGGATTACAGTTGAATGTGTCTCTAGCTATTTCTTGGGGATATCTTGGGAAGGTATTGTCTTGTGTCACCATTGAAAATCCATCTTATTAATTGTATCAGTGTTATTATTCGTTGTTTTCATCACCTTCAAATCAATTTTGATAACAAGATGGGGAAGAGGAAAGTAGAAAACTGTAGAAGTCTTCAAGTCATGTTTGGTGTTACAAGCCTTCACTTCTATTTTTAAAATGTTAGGACGAGACATGAATTGGCATGAATTTGTTTGTGTATAATTTTTAACTTTTGTGTGATTGTATATTTTTCAGCTTTATAGAAAAAAGGGTGAAAAGCTATTGGCAAGGCAAGTATTTGATCGTGCTAGAAGTATTGATCCTGGGCTTGCATTGCCCTGGGCAAGCATGTCAGCTGAGTGTCACACGAGGTATAATTATAACATCATTTTTATACCCAATTTGTGTAGTATGTAAATGGTAGTTTTATCTATATCTATTATCTTACTAATTTATTCTTACTTTAGGGAGCTTGCACTAGCTGAGGCATTTGAGAGCTGTTTGCGGGCTGTACAAATAATGCCTGTAATTTCTGTCTCTTTGTTTGCTGGTTTTTCACATGAGCAAAGTGATGTTGTTTGGTTTTTGTATTATCCTGCTGGAAGAATCTTAAGTTTTTTTCTTGGTCTTTCTCTCATTGTTGGCACATATTAGTTTGGAAATAATTATCAGGGGCAACATTGGGGTCTTCCCTCTCATTTTCTCAGCTGGGCTGATTCTTTGATCTGTACGTGTCATTGCTGTATCTGACACATTGTATTAGTTCAATCTTGATAGGATCCAAGATGGATAGAGAGAAACAAGGAAGATAAATCTCTATTAATATATGAAATCAAAATCTAACTTCATACTATTAATAAGAGAACGTAGAACTGATAAAAGAAAATAGATGGAATAAATTTATCAAGATAGTATAAAACAAGAATCTCGTTTTATACTTCTCTTAATGGTTATGCTTAAGAGAATCTCCAAAAGACTAAAAGTCACAAAAGTCAGTTGTATTCATGATATACCTGCTTTTGAGTTGTTAAGCATATTTATAATGTTAAATACAATCTAAAATAATGAATAAAATCTAAATAACTAGATAATTAAATAAAACTGAATAAAATCTCATCTCTTAGAATCTATATCTATATAAAATATTGAATAAAATCTAAAGAATTCATATCTAGATATCTAAATAAAACCTAGATAACTAAATATCTAAATAAAATCTAAACAATATTATTAAATAGAAAATGTCTAAAATAAAGTAGAATAAATCTAAACAATATTATTAAATAGAAAATGTCTAAAATAAAGTAAAATAATATTTATTCCTAATATATCTCTAACTTCTAAAATTATCCATTATCCCACCATAATTGGTACTCTATCAATTCTCCCCCTTGAAAATTTTCCTTGTCCTCAAGGTGAGACATAGGCAATAGCTTTTTTGTGTATCTGGAAGTTGAGATGGGAGTTATAGCATCTCCAATGTGGGTTCCAAAAGGTTGAACAAAAGGCTACAGGGAAACTTCAAGGATAAAGTTGCAATTACACCTACCGTCCACCAAGTTTAGAACCTTGCGCTCAAAGGTCTCTTGAAGCTTCATCATTGCTGAAGTAGCTTTTCCTAAGCCTACAGCAACGAAAGGTGTTGCACTTTCTAGCACTATCTTCACTTTAGTGTTGTCTTTCAGAGGAGAGATGAGTTCCTTGCCATGTTCAATCTCTGAAATAGAAGGTTTAGAGTTTGTTGGGGTCTTTGAGAGATGAAGGAGAGAAGGATGCATCTCCTTAGCCTCATGAACAAATGTATTTCCAGTCAAGAATGTTTCATTTTGACTCAGTTGTTGCACTCCTTTGGGACCATGAGAGTGTTGGACCCTAGATTCATTGTTTAAGGCTAAACTCAAGTGCTTGTACACACTCTTAGGTTGAGGAGTTCTGTGTTTCTGAATTTTCATATCTCCCTTAAAGCCTAAATGAATTTGGCTGGCTTTGATTTGTTTCCCGGTTGGCACAATTGGTGGTGTTGTAACGGTAGAATTATAGACATCAAGGCCAACTATGATGTAAAGGAATCGATGCCTTTCATGAAGCGAGGGAACATGGTTAGATAAGGAAGTGCATGTTGAGATAGTTGGTGAGGGTGAATCTGTAGAAGTAGTGTAGAGATGGTAGGAATCCATTAATCCTAATATATCTCTAACTTCTCAAATTATCCATTTTCCCACCATAATCAGTACTCTATCAAATCTTTTTCTATGCTGTAATTAAATTTTATTGCTTTCCTTGAAAAGATTGTTGAATTACAATGCAGTTAGCTGAATTCCAAATCGGCCTCACTAAGCTCGCCTTACGCACTGGCCATCTTTCATCTTCACAGGTTAGATTATTGAAGAGATTAGTAATTTGCTGTGATGGTTGGATAAAATTTCTTGTCTCATGTAAGGATGCTGAGTTCTTTGAAATTTATGCCAAACCTTTGTTTGAATGTCAGGTCTTCGGAGCTATTCAGCAGGCTGTGCAGCGTTCACCTCAATATCCTGAATCCCATAATTTAAATGGGCTGGTATTTGAGGCTCGAAAAGATTATCAGTCTGCTGCTACTTCTTATAGATTAGCACGCCATGCAATGAACACTGGCTCATGTAATGTTCCAAACTCACAGATCAGGGATGTATCAATCAATTTGGCAAGGGTACTTTCTAAGGTAAATAAATATTTAAGAGGTTTTCAGTCATTTTTTTAACATATTCTACTATAATGTTCTGTACTGAATTTCATATGAAAGCAAACTTCATATTTGAACTTTTCTTTTTTCGCAATAAACGCTAACTCTATCTGATTTAGGCAGGGAATACAGTTGATGCTTTGGAAGAATGCGAACATTTGAAGAAAGAAGGTTCAGGTTCATTTTACTGTAATTTAGGCTGTGTTTGGAAGTTTTAAAAGGTGGGGTGGGGGGGTAGAATAGGGAGCAGAACAATGTTATGATAATACTATTGAAGGTATTACTGTATGAATGAATGGAAAGGGGTACCTTATCATTGTTTGGATGATATATGATAGAGATAACCAAAAAAAAGGAAGAACTTTTAATTTTTCTTTTTTGGGATAAAGTACTAGATAAATATCCCTTAAAAAGGAAACTTGTTCTCTCCCTTTACCACCCTTATTTTAAGGAGAACCAAAAGTGAGATTTTTATGGGGTTTGGAGGTGGGGGGTTCCCTTCAACCCACTCCATCTTCTTAAACATATGCTGTAAACTGTTAAAACTCTAGTGTTTGTCTGTGCTTTTCAATTTCACCATCTCTATTGTAGTATTAAATTACATATTGTTGAAATTAAAGATTGAATCGTTATATTATTGGTTATATTATTCTTAGAGTAAAACATTTTGATCTCTCTGAATTTAGCATTAATTACACAGACTTCTCTCTATTTTAATTGCATAATACACTCTTATTATCCCAAAAAAAAAAAAATATGCATGACCCACCCCCTCATATATTTCGAAAATAATTATTCTATTTGGTTCTTTTAGAGATACTTGGTGTAACGTGTACTTGATATCAAAGGGCAGTTAGAGGTTGGATATATTTATCAATTGCTTTCAAGTTAAAATGCCCTTGATTTATTGCATGTGATGACTTTAGATTTGAAAACAACTCATTAGAGTTGTAAATGTTGTTAATAGAGGTTAATATTTCAATTGATTGTTAATGTCTTAATTAATGATTATGTTAAGAATCAACAACAACAACAACAACAACAGGCCTTATCCCACTAGGTGAGGTCGGCCACATGGATTATGTGATGTCATTGTGCTCTATTATTTATTAAGTTTTTAGGAATATCGTTAATTGAAAGGTCTTGCACAACAACCTCCAATATTGTTAAGAATACCTTTGAAAATATGAATGATGGTCGATTTAGGTTGCAGGTGTCTGCTTATTCTGGAACTGGAGAACTTACTTTTCCAATGGAGGTTAGTGTTGTGAGAGAAAATGAGTTTGTGATTTTGTGTGTGATAAAATCATTTGATAAGCAATTTTATAATATCCAAGAAACCTTTTGTATTTGGTAAATGTTGGCATTCAACAGAATTTGGGGGAAAGTTGGGGGATTTGGCAGAATAGTTAAAGATTGACTAGATCTGGAAAATTGATCACATTTATTCCAGATCAAATCTCCAAGTTTTTACTATACTATGAGTAACGGTCATATCCTATTTTCTCCCTCAATCATTGTTATTTTCTTTCCTTTCTCGCCTTTTCCAGACTTCAGAGCTTTGTGGCTGAGTCAATGTATTTTTTTCCCCAGTTTTTAGAGGATCTGGAGGGTGACCTGAGTCCCTTCTTCCTCTGTTTTCAGCGAAAACCTCAGTTCTTGTAAGCAGAATCCACCCAGATCTGTAAAATTATATGCATGAAATTTTTCAGTAATCTCTCAGGAAAGTGCTTTTAATTGTCAGATAGCAAAAGTGGCATGTAAATATTTGACTTTATAATAGAGGTTTGGTAAAAATAATTAAAGGTGGTTTTGGTAAACAATGGTTTTGTGTTGAGTTATGATTGTCTTGAATAAGTTTATACTTCAGCTACTCTATTCAAGGAAAAGCTTTTCTGCTTCCTTCTCATAGAAAAGAGCAGAAGATTGACCAATCACTTATGAATCTCAAATAAAGTATTTATGCAAAAATATGGAGCTTCCTGATCTTGAGTAGCATGGTCAAGCAGGGCAGAAATATTGGTACAGTTTTAAAATATGAGGGGATTTTTTGGTATGTTGAAAGTGGGAGAGGATTTGTGTAGTTAATTCTAGGAGGTCACTCTTTTGAATTCTAATTTATGCATTTTTTTTTTCCTGGCGAGGAGTAGGAGAAAGAGTAATTTATGATGTGAATGGCAGCTGTCAATACATGTATGCTGCCAATAAAAAGCCTCTTTATCAGTGGACTTTTCACTTGATCTTGTAGGCTGCAATTTTATGTGAAGGATCTTGTGGCTGACCTTGTATTAAAGTGTATTTGAATTTTTTTGGTGTTGCTAATATTATAGTATGATATATTGTTGTTTAAGGGTCCCTTGATGTTGAATATTTGCAAGTATATCTTCACTTGATCTCGTAGGCTGCAATTTTTATGCGAAGGATCTTGTGGCTGACCTTACATTAAAATGGATTTGATTTTTTTTTTTTTTTTAGGTCTTGCTAACATTATTGCATGATATATTGTTGTTTAAGGGGCGCTTGATTCAGAAGGTTTGCAAGTATATGCTTTTTCTCTGTGGCAACTTGGTGAAGATAATATGGCCCTTTCTGTAGCTCGAAGTCTTGCTGCAAGTCTTTCTTCTATGGAGAAGACATTTGTGGCAACATCCATTTGTTTCATCTGTAGATTATTATACTCCCTACGTGGGTTGGATGCAGTGACCACTATGATTGTGAAAATGCCCAAAGAGTTATTTCAAAGTGCCAAAGTGAGTTTTGTACTGTCAGCTATTCATGCTCTTGATGGGCACAATGACTATCTTGGATCTGTTGTCTCAAGTAGTCGATCTTTTCTCACTTCTCATGAAGAAATTGCCAAGATGCACTTTTTAGTTGTGCTTGGTAAACTGGTATAATGCTAATCACCTCCTTTTCTTTTCCATTCTCCTCTCCCTCATTCCTCCATTCCCAAAGCAGAATTCTTGTAATCGGTTTAAGGGAAAACAACACTTGTGGTTTTTGCAGGTGAAAAATGGGTCTGAATGCTACCTTGGAGTTCAGAGTGGAGTTCTGCACCTTAGGAAAGCTTTGCACATGTTCCCTAACAGCAATTTGCTGAGGTAGATTTTTTTATGACCGGACTAAGAAATTAGTTCCGGTAGCTTGAGAAACTCTTAATAATTGGTTGATCACCTTTATGTCTAGCAAGATGGCTAAGTAAATGATTGTCTTCATGGATCAAATTATAATCTAATGGGCCCCCATGTGGGATGAGGAACTCTTCTCTATAATCTTGGTTGCACATGGGTAAGTTGCTTGAATCTATAGTAACACTGTGTTATGCTCTCTCCTCATTCTTCTCTTATGAGCCTATGATGCTCTTGGCCCAATAGGTACCTGTTCATCTAAGATAGTTATAAAATGATTAATAGAAATTTTGATTTAATAGAGAAATGTTATCCGTATGGAGAATTTCAATTAGTCCTTACTATAGATAAAGGATTTAAATTCTCTCAAGTTGAGATATGTGAAGTTCAGTGAAGTTTTCCTTTTTTTGTATTTCTTTAATTATTTTATTACTTTTTATAAAATATAAGATCTTCTCTTTCTTTCTTTAAAAGACAAACTTTACAGAAATTTATAGATTTCAACTTCAGAGGATTTAAATCCGTAAATAAATATAACCTACCTCCAATTATCTAAGGTTAATTCTTGTTTTCATTCTGTTTCACCCTGTTATTTTTTTCTTGTCAACTTTGTTAACAATGTTTTGCTAGCATAACGTCTCTCCTGTAAATTTTTATGGAAAACAGGAATCTACTTGGTTTTCTCTTGGTATCCTGTAAAGAGATAAACAACTGTCACATAGCAATAAGGTGTTGCAAATCAGACCCTCCTGACCTTCCAAATCAAGAAGGTTTTAAATTAGCATCAGATATTCAAGGCGCTGGAGCAATTTCTTGCTACACCATTGGAAACAATAATTCAAAGCTTACTTTCCAACTTGTGCAAAGCAGTATCATACTAATCTGAAATCTATCAGATACCAGCAGAAGTACTCTTTTTACTTTTTCATCTCCATATTTTAACTTGTAGCCATGCATTATTATAGTTTTGAAATCCTCCTTGCAAGGCCTATTTATATTTTACTTTATATATTACTCCAGAATCAAATCTTTTCATAGCCAATTTTGGCAGTTTTTTGGCTATCATTTTATTATTGTTTATTCCTTCAACAGGATAGTCATCTCACTTTTTTCCTACAAAATTACAGATGCTTTCATCAAAAACCATGGAATCACAATGCTCGATACTTGCTTGTTCTTAACTATCTTCAGAGGGCACGCGAAGAGAGATTTCCTTATCATCTTTGTGTTATAATTAATCGTCTAGTTTTTGTGGCTCTTTCTAATGAATTATATTGTAAGGCAGAAGTGTCTTACCAATATCAACAGTTCCAACTTCTTCTCTGTGCTTCTGAGATTAGTTTACGTTGTGGGGACCAAGTTACTTGTATCACCCATGCTAAAAAGGCTGCTGAAATTGTACTTCCTGATGATTATTTATTTTTTGCACACCTACTGTTGTGTCGTGCTCATGCTATGAAAAGTGATTTTCTAAATCTACAGAAAGAGTATACAAGGTGCTTGGACCTTAGAACAGATTGTCATATTGGCTGGATTTGTCTCAAACTAGTGGAATCTCGATATCAGCTCCAAATTGATTCAAATGCTATAGACTTGAACTTTGAGCACAGTATTAGAAAGGGTGGCAGTATAGGGAAAATGTGGATGGCTGTATATAACCTGGTGAGAGGCTTAATTTCCTTGCAGAATGGGGATTTACTCTCAGCAGAAGAGCTCTTGGCACAGGCTTGTTTATTGGTGGATTCCGAAACCTGCCCCTATTTATGTCATGGTTTGTATCTCTTATCTAATGAGTTGTTGGAAGTTTTACCTAAATTTTTTTTACCTGTGAAGTAAAACCTTAAGAGAACTTGGATACATACTTGAATTCATAAGCATATTCCGACCTTTATAATTGTTTGTTAATGTGGAAGTATCAAGATATTTTTGTTTTGTTCTCTTTGTAAAAATTTTTTAAGGGGAAATGACAAGGAAGGACCCCATAATATAATTAGTGTCAAATTAGGATTTCTTGATAAATAAAGTTCCTAAATTCAGTACTCCTTCTCCCATGTTTCAATATTAAAACTCTTGATTTGACATAAATTTTCTTATGAGGTCCTTACTTGCCATTCTCCCTTTTTTTTTAATTCTATGGCCATTATTGTAACTTTCTTCCTTAGGCCTATAAATACATGCCCTTCCCACACTTGTAGATTATCAATCTGATAGAGGATGATGCAGCTCTCCATTTCCTCTTATCACTTTTCACACTATACAACTCTTCTCCAATGTGTCTTCAGTTTTTCGTTCACGGCATGGAAGTCTCACAGAAGTCTTTGTTCCTTTTATTTAAATCCCCTACTTCCAAACAAACTGTCAAGAGTCTATTTATTAAAAGTTTATCTATTAGAAAACTCCACAACCAGAGGCCACCATGTGTTAGTCGTCTTGATATCACAATCTTGACACAGCCACTAGAATCCTCCTCATACAATGCCTACTTGTCTAGCACATTCACTATAGCTCCTTCCTTTGCTCCCATGCGGCACCTTCCTAAAGCTACACCAATGTTCATGCATCGATGCATTGTAGCTAATCACCCAGAATGGATCAACATGACTGTAGATTGATACCAAAACCAAATTTAGCTCCAGTTGACCTTATGGAATGTGCACACCATCTTTCCTTTGATTTTTCATTTTCTCCAGGCCCAAAATGCTGACTTTGTTATGCTCTCCCTTCAAAACATCAAAAAGTGAATTTAAGATCCTTGGCTCACCTTTAGGTCATCTATAATTTTCCAATACACTCCATTTTACACTAAAAAAAGTCTCTTCGGCTCTTGGTCAGATAGCGTATTATTCAATACCTTATCTGTTCCCTAGAACTCCCGATCTGACCCACGATGATGTCTAGCCACATCTCAAATCAAAATCTCAATCCTTCCAAAATTCTCTTTTTTTACCTCAATGTGTGCCGTGTGCCATCTCAAACTCAAACTAGCCAAGTTGTGGGTGGATCCCTTGGACAATAGTCTTCTAGCAATGGCAGTATCGAAACTTCCTTTTAGCTCGTCAAAAGTGACAAGACATGAGCCCAATGGGCATAATTATCTACATTGGGCCAAGTCTGTGATGTTCTTTGTCTTAGGAAATGTAAGGGGGTAATGGTTATTGGTTGCATCAGGTTATGAGTTGTATTAGTTATATAATATATTTTTTTTACAGTCACGATTAGTTTAGTCATGTATGATTGAACTTTTTAAATAGAACAGATGTAAACTACTCTAAGGCAATAACAAGTTATCATTCATCATATCTTTCCTGCCAATTTTTTTTTTTTTTCAATATTATGTTCGGGTTAGTGAAATAGTGATAAAGTACCACGTGACCACCCTAGGTGATGGAAATCATGAGCAGAATATGGAGCAAGTGGGTAGTACACTTGCAGGGTTACTGGGGAAGGAGTTGCATCAGTTTTACCCATGCATTAAGTCCACTGACACTTCTTACCCATTTCTTAGGAGTTTTCAAAGTTTCTTTTATTATTTATTTAATTATTGTTTATATTTCTGTTATAGATAGGACATTAGCCTTTAGGTTGTGGCTTAGGTAATTTAATGCATTTTGGAGATTTTCCTAGGCTATTGGGTTTGGAAGAGTGAGATTCCCACCCAGCGTTTTCTAGGCTGTTGGAATGAAAAAAGGAAACTTTTTTTTTTTTTTTCAAAGGGAACTGAGACTGTCATTACATCAAAATAAAGAGAGTGCATAAGAATTACATGTTTTCTTTCACATTACCCACTTCATTCCTACTGGGTGGGCTATGGGCAAAACTCAAAAAGTACAAGAATCAGAATCATTACCTAGAGTTAATTTTGCTAGAGTAAGCTTCCCAAATGGCTTCCCTGTGTGCAAAATTAAGAGGCACATGCCAGTCACTACACACAAAAGTTCCTAGTATTATCAATTACATTTTGGAAGGGATGAAAACTTTGAAGGTCTCGTGATTCTGGTGATTGCTTCAGCACAATCACAAAATCCTTCTGCTTACTTAAATCCTTTTTCCCAGCATAATTTGAGGCCAGTACTGAAGGTATTTTGACCAGAAGAATGATATATTATTTCACTGTGCAGATATACATACACGATTACAAGGCTGACTGTACAAGGAAATAATCAGAAAAAATCAAATCACTTATTTACCGTTATGATCTTGTCTAATCATATCTCTATGAATCAGAATCATATCCCTATTAATTAGAAAAGAATATTTCTTAATTAATTATATTTCACTCTCCCACTCAAGTTGGATCATAGATGTTAATCATATCCAACTTGCTTATACAATTTTCAAATGCGGGCTTATGTAATCCCTTGGTCAACATATCAGCTGCTTGGAGACTTGTTGGTAAGAAGGTCAAACAAATGATCCCATCTTCCACTTTTTCTCTAATAAAATGCCTGTCGATTTTTTCGTGTTTCGACCTTTCATACTGTACTGGATTTAGGGCCATGCTTATAGCTACCTTGTTATCATAGTATAATTTCAGTGGTAGATCTAGTCTGACATGTATTTCCTCAAGTATTATTTTCAACCATATTTCCCCTATTATGCCTTGAGTTAAGGCCCTTAACTTGGATTCAATACTACTCTTAGATACAACTTTTTGCTTCTGACTTTTCCATGTAACCAGGTTTCCCCACACGAATGAACAGTAACCAAAAGCAAATCTCCTATCTGGGTGATGTCCACCCCAATCTGCATCGGTATATACTTCTATGGTTCTCTGTTCATGTTTTTGAAACAACAAGCCCTTTCCAGGGGTGCCCTTCAGGTATCTCAGAATCCTGTATGCTGCTTCCATGTGTTTTACCTTTGGCTCACACATGTACTGACTAGCTACACGTACTGCAAAAGCTATGTCAAGTCATGTATGAGAGAGGTAGATAAGTTTCCCCACAAGTCTTTGATATCTTTCTTTATCAATTGGTTTGTCTTTTTCCTCATCTTCCTTTTCTTCAATTTTCTTGGTCTCTTCGTCAGAGTTTTCATCCTTCTTTGTGAACTTTGGCCTCTTCTTTGGAACAATAATGGGTGTTTCAACAGGTTTACACCCCAACATGCCTGTCTCTTTTAAGAGATCAAGTATGTATTTCCGCTAAGATACATGAATTCCCTTATTTGATCTTGCAACTTCCAATCCCAAGAAGTATCTTAACTTTCTTAGGTCCTTTACCTTAAACTCTTGACTCAATGCATTCTTAATTTTTATGATTTCCTCACTGTGATCACCAAAAATAACTATCATCAACATACACAATGAGAATACACCTCTTACCTCCTTCCAATTTAACAAACATAGTGTGATCCGATAGTCCTTGTTTGTAGCCCTGAGACTTCAAGATTTGTGAGAATCTATCGAACCATGCTCTTGGTGACTGCTCTAATCCATATAGGGATTTCTTCAACTTGCACACTTGATCACCTTTGCCTGGATCAAAACCGGGAGGTAGAGTCATATACACTTCCTCTTTCAAGTCTCCATTTAAGAAGGCGTTCTTGATGTTTAACTGATGCAAAGGCCATTCCAGGTTTGCTGCTATAGGTAATAACACTCTGATGGTGTTTAGCGTGCCTACTGGTGCAAAGGTTTCTTGGTAGTCAATGCTATATGTCTGTGTGAACCCCTTAGCTACCAACCGAGTCTTCAACTTTTCAAGGTTCCCATCAGCTTTGAATTTTGGGGTGAACACCCACTTCCAACTTACAAGTTTCTTGTTCCTTGGTTTATTCACAATTTCCCAAGTCCCATTTTCCTCTAATGCTTTCATTTCTTCCAAGACAGCTTCTCTCCATTTTGGTGATTCCAGAGTCTCATGAATATTATTTGGAATACTAACATCATCTAGGTTTGCAATGAAACCTTAATACTTGGGAGATATAACTTCGTAGGACACATATTTTTGAATTGGATGCTGTGTACAAGATCGGGGTTTCTTCCTGAGGGCAATTGGCAAATTCAAATCACTATCCAATTCTTTCCTGGCATCATTATTGACATTCACAACCTCTGATGTTCTCATTTCCTTCTACAGGATCTCTTATCGGTTCTGAATCAAGGATTGCCTCAGGTGTGGGAGATTTAGTACCTTGCTTCTTCTTCCGTTTATAGGTTATGATCTCTTTTTTTGTGGTACTTGTGTCCTTGTTGTCCTCTGTACCTACATTTTCTTTTGCTTCTGGACTAAAAGAGACAGACATTAGCTCAAGAGAGTTGAGATCAACAGATGGAATAGGGGAATACTCAAAGAATGACTGAAATTCATGTCAAGCCCCCCTCCTAAATTGAGGGAGGAGGATAAAAGGAGTCATGTTTAGAAAAGTGACATCATGACTAACGAATAGACGCCGGGAAGAGGAGTCAAAACATTTGTAGCCTTTTTGAGAAGAAGAATAACCAATGAACACACACTTGATGGCCCTGGGTTCAAGCTTGGAAGTGGGGTTAAGATGTACAAAAGTTGAGCACCCAAATATTTTTCATAGGGAGATTAGTTTCAAGATGGTGAAGAGAATGTATTTCACGTAGGTGATCAAGAGGTGTGATATAGGATAAGACATTACTTGGCATTTGATTTATGAGGTAAGTAGCAGTAAGAATGGCATTGTCCCAAAAGAATTTTGGCATGAGTGGTAAACATAAGGGCACGGGCAACCTCTAATAGGTGTTTATTTTTGCGTTTGGCAATACCATTTTGTTGGGGGGAATTTGTACAAGAGGTTTAATGGACAATGCCCTTCGTTTTCAAAAAAAAAATCACTCATAGTTTTATTCAGGTATTTAGTACCATTATCAGTTTGGAGGATTTGAATGGAGGTGTGAAATTGGTTAAGAATCATGGTGTAAAATTCCAAAAATATGGATTTGACATCAGATTTCTCTTTTATTACATAGACCCAGCACACATGAGTATGGTCATCTATGAACGTAACAAACCATTTGGCTTGGGTTCGGTTTGGAACACGGGAAGGACCCCACACATCACCGTGAATGATAGAAAAAGGTTTAGACGGTTTGTATCCAGAGTCTGGAAATGAAGAACGATGGTGTTTAGCCAATTCACAAGTATCACAATGAAAAGTAGAAATTTTATTGAATGAAAAATGAGGAAACAAACAACTCAAGTACTGGACATTGGGATGATCCATTCTTTTATGCCATAAAAAAAGATTATTATTCTTAGAGGTGGACACAAGATAACACCAAATGTGAGACCAGAGACTACTCACGATTGATTCATTAAGGTAGTATAGCCCATCACACCTCTCAGCATTGCCAATCATCTTCCTCGATGTGAGATCCTGAAAGACATAATGAGTAGAGAAAAAATGAGCACTACAATGAGCTTGCCTAGTCAACTTGCTTATGGATAACAAATTACAGGCTAAGTATGGAAAATGAAGAACTGAATCCAGTTGTAAAAATTCAGAAATAGTAATGCTTCCCTTTCCAACAATAAAGGAAGATGTTCCATTAGTAGTATCGATTTTCTCACATCTGCTACATGGAAAATATGATGTGAATAATGTGGAATATGCCGTCATGTGATTTGAGGCCCTAGAGTCAACAATCCACCGGAATTTATGGAAGGAGGTATTTAATGCATAATGATTATTACCTTGCTTAGCCACAGAAACATTGTGTGGGTTTTGAGATGGTTGCTCAGGTCGTGGTAGAGTATTTAACACCTCCAGGAGCTTAATTAACTGGTCTTTATCCATTTGAGGGATAGCAACAGATTTGTCTAGGGCATTTTCAAAAGTAGCTTGATATCCACGTGCTTTATCCTTGCATGGTTTCCTGTCAACAAGCTTCTTATGAAGATCCCAACACTTGTCCTTTGTGTGACCAGCCTTTTTACAATGATCACATGAGATTTTCCCTTGTCTCTTTCGTACCTTGATCAGAGTTCCTACTTACTGAGGCAGAAGGTTCAAAAGAGGAAGATACGGGAACAAGGTCAGTAAGCATCACCTTTCAACAAGAAGTCTCTCTATGGACTTCTCCAAATGCATCTTTTGCTGAGGGTAATGGCAAGCGAGCTAGGATTCTGCTTCAGACATCATCTGATGAGTGATGAAGACCAGCCAAGAATTAAAACACCCACTCATCCTCAACTCGTTTTTTGTACCTTGCTGCATCACGGGCACAGGATCATTCCTCTTCTGTGTTAAGGTTGATCTCCTGCCATATTGCAACTAGTTCTAACCAATATTCGGTCAAATCACGTTCAGCTTGTTTAATCTGCCAGTTTCGAGTTTTCAGCTCATATGTTCGAGCATTGTCTTCACCATCCGAGTATGATTCTTGAACAGCTTCCCAGATGTCTCTCGCAATAGGCAGAAACATGAAAGAGTGTCGAACCTATGGAGTCATAGCTGTGACCAACCATGAAGCAACTTGTGAGTTCTCGGTCTCCCACTTTGACAGGGCTGCTGCGTCTGACTCGTCTGGTACCTTAGAAGTACCAGTGATAAGCCCAATTTGCCACAACCACCAATAGCGAGCCGTATAGCTTGAGCCCACTCATGGTAATTATGTCCGTTGAATTTATCGGACACCAGGAGAATAGAGGACCCTTCGGCGGAACTTAACCCGAGGGGAGTTCCGCTGTGGGTGTATGATAGAGAGTTCTCGGCATGCTCAAGCCCATGGATGAAGGTCTCGAGCTGCTCAATTGTGACTCCTTTGCTAGTCTCACGCTATCGTTTGCATTTTCTGAGTTAGAACCGTTGATGAGCTTTGATACTATGAAGGTATTTTGACCAGAAGAATGATATATTATTTCACTGTGCAGATATATATACACGATTACAAGGCTGACTGTACAAGGAAATAATCGGAAAAAATCAAATCACTTATTTAACCTCATAATCTTGTCTAATTATATCCCTATAAATGAGAATTGCATCCCTATTAATTAGAAAAGAATATTTTCTAATTAATTATGTTTCACAAGTACAAATACCAATAATTTCAGCTATAACAGGAGGAACTCTAACTACTTTACCACTAAGCCCATAAACCCAGCTAGCATTGGAATCCCATAGAACTCCTCCTCCATATGTGCCTAAGCCTTCCTTAGAAACAACTCCTTCTTCATCCATGTTTTGGAAATTTTCACCAAGCTTTGGTTGTAGAGGAATAATATTTCTGGTACTTGATGGACTAGTGCTATATCTATAGACTCTATAATATGCTACAATCCAGCTCATGTTTAAATATTACCAATCATTTTTTATATATTATTGCCAGACACTTTGGTATTGGGTAAATGATTTTTCTTTTTATCAGGCTCTCCTTTCCTCTGACAAGTTTATCTCTTTTCTCGTGATATGCATTTGGTTGCTAGTCATTTCTGTCTTGTGCTCTTGCTTCCCCCTTCTTCTGTTTTGTCCTATTCTGTTTTGCATACATGACAAGAGGGATTTCTATCGCCATTTTGATTATTCGTGCAGGAGCTATCTGTATGGAGCTTGGCAGGCAGTGCTATGGCTCTTCGTTTTTATCCCGGGCTGCAAAGAGCCTTGCCAAAGTTCATGAACATTCAATGATTCCCTTACCTCTTGCTAGACTATTGCTGGCTCAAGCAGAAGGTAGCCTTGGTTTTAAAGAGAATTGGATCAGAAACCTTGGCTTTGAATGGCATTCGTGGCCCCCAGGTTTGATATCTTTACTGTCTTAAAATTACAGGTATTCTATTTAGATATGAGGAGATTTTGTTGTATATAAATAAATAATTAGAATTCCCAATATTTAGAGCTTGTTTGGTTTTGTTTTCATTTTTTTGTTATTTAAAAACTATTTTTTAAACCAATTTTTAAAAATTATTTTTCAGAACAGAACAAAATGAAAATATGTTTGATTTGAGTTTAAAAAAGGTTGATAGTGGTGGTCACTGGTGGTTAATGACCTATGATAGCAGTTGGCTGAACTGAAAATAATTTATAATAATCAAATGTGGTGTGCTTTAAAATTTGTTCAAAAAAAAAACAAAGAAAGAAAACAAAAGTAGCTCTAAATTGTTTCCATTTTTCATTTTAAAAATAGAAAATCTAAGAAGCACCGATACGGGTACGAGTGTCGGGTACGATATGATACGATATGCGGACACAGCTATTTTTCAAAATTTTAAGATACGGGTACGGCTATATAAATAATTAAATATTAAATATTTGGATGTCTAAAAATACAATTTCAAGATGTCTAATGCCATCACAAAATATAATAAAATAAATAGTTTAAGCACTTAAGCACTATCAAGTGGCAAAAAATAATTACTAACTTAAAGTAATTCTAATAAAAATTTTAACATGAAGAAAGCCAATAAAACTTTAAAATAAATTAATGTTTAACTCAATAAAATAATCCATCTAAATAAAAAAAATTTAAATCAGTAATTCAATATTAAATTTGAAAAACTGATCAGTTGCTCTGCCTCTCTCGGTTCAGCAGTGAAGAATTGAGCAATAAATATTCATTATCCAGCAATGCAATAATTCCAATAAATATCCATCAGGCAGCAGCACAACATTGAACAATAAAAAAGTGAAGAGCAGAAGAGATAGAGACGAGATCAAAGACGCTGAGGCAGAGCTCAAATTGAAGCTGAATAAATTACCAAGATTGAAGCTGAAGACTGAAGAACGATGAGGTTGAAGACGCGAGAGTGAGGCAGCGTGTGAAGTGAGAAGTGAAAACGCATCTGACTCAGAACGATACAGGGTCAAAGAACGATACAGCGGTCGACACAGGCAGTGAGCGACAGAGCAGAAAACACGAGAAGGGGGTCAACTGGTGCTAAAAATCTTAGGGCATCGGGTTTTTGGAGTTGGGACCGAGTAAAAAGAGGTGAAAAACGCAAAGTTTCGCGTCAGCCCACGTCCGACCCGTGTTCGCCTGCGTCAACCCGCCTCGACCCGCATTGCCTGCGTCCACCAGAAACTAGGAAAAGGGACGCGCCGTTCCCCAATCCTGAATGCGTGTCCATGTCAGATACGTATCTGACACGGACTCGCCGGTCATTTTCGCATATCGGTGCTTCTGAGTAGAAAATGAGAACAATTTTGAAAACATCTAAATTTAAAACACTTATCCACCTGAATTTTGTTATTTTTGTTTTTTAAAATAGAAAGCAGTTTTTAAAAACAGAAACCAAACATGTCCTTGCATTCTTTTGGTTTCTTATTCTGTATGGCAGATTGTTGTGGTCCTTAAATGACTAGCTGCTAGTATGAGGAAAATTATCTGGCTTATGACCTTTGTTCAAATCAAAGCCTATATTTATTACTAGAAGTTTGAATGAAAATGCTTTGCGATTTAAAAACTCATCTGTGTCTTTTTTATTGAATTTTGTACAATAGTTGGAGAATGGAAGTGAGCTTATGAAAAAAATACTAAATAAGGTTATGGTGCAAAATACCCCTAAAGTATTCTGTGAGGAGCTATACTGGTATCATTAACTCAAGTATGGTGTAATTTTACCCATAAACCTTAAAAAAATTGTGCAGAACTCCCAAATTTGTAACCGAGGCCAAACATCCGTTAAATAATAGTTGCCATATGTAAATGAATTAGGGGTAAAAATATCTATCATGTGATACACTATGGTGCAATTTTCCGCAAAAGCCCTAAAAAACAGTGCAAAAATTCTCAATATAAAACAAAGCCATATTTAGCAAACATTGACCATGAGTGTCCTAAAAAAATTAAAATTAATTTTATTTGACCCAACTGTAAATGAGGAAATACTTGTGTCCATATCTAAGCACAATATTTTATTTTGTCAACTTCGCAGCTAGGAGAGGAGGGAACGGGGTTTGAACTAACTTGGGTTGCATAGAGAAGCGACAGTCAAGAGTTGGGATGGCTTCTAAATGGGTTTTGAATTAAAATATGTTTGTGGTTGTGATGTGTGAGAAAATAAAAATGTCATGCCTAGGGTTAATTTCAGCCAATTATGCAAAATTTGAGTACATGTATTTTAATATATGCACTTGGTGTCAAATAAAATATCATATCAATATTTCTAACATTCATGGCCAACATTTGCTAACATGTACATTTCCACACTGTTTTTTGGTTTGATGGGCAAAATTGCACCATGGTATACTATTTCATGAATATTTTTTTGCCTACAACCCATTTACGCGTGGTATGGCATGTGAGACTCACAATCCTTGCTCAACAGGCATTAAGTCTTTGTTATGGATGATTGATTGAATGATGTAAAATTGCATCATACTTTAAGGATACCAGTAACTCCTCACAATATTTTATGGGTATTTTTGCACCTTGACTCTATTCGACATTTATAATTTGTAAATTAGGGGTTAAATATAAATAAAGGAAATACTAGGTTAGATTTATGTATTTTCTGGCGCTTTGTTGTTTTGTTATTTTGACTCGTTTATTTTCATTTCATGTTTTATGCTCCCTAAGAAGGCCCTATAGTAGTTTAAGCTCAGACTTGAATTTTCGACCAGTTGATATTAGATTTTGTATCAGTCTTTCCTTCCTAACTTCCTCCCTGCCTATTTTCCTCCGTATTTCACCCTCTTCATTCCCCCCCCCCCCCAACCCCTTTTTATAATCGATGTTCTGCATCAATAGTCGCACTGCTGATTGTTGACTAACGGTGGGTATCTGTTATATCTCTCAGAACTGAGACCTGCTGAGCTCTTCTTTCAAATGCATCTGCTTGCAAGACAGTCGAAAGTTGGTTTTAACACCCAGTCCAGCGGAAGGTCCTTCTACAGTCTTCAAAGATGGGTTCTTCAAGCAATTCACATAAACCCTTCCTGTATGAGATATTGGAGAGTTTTACTGAAGCTCACAGGATTCGAGTAAACATCGCCGATGTGCGTGGACTGGGAAGGAATTTGTTCTCCTATGTTTCCTGACCACTGCAATCAATTTGGGACACAGGAGAAAAGAATGTAAAACGCTTCGAAATCTATTCTAAAGAACATGATTTGATGCTCGCTTATCCAAGCTGAGTATGATTGATTTTGTTAAAATAGTAATGTTTATAAGCCAGAATAGGGTTATCGTACTTCACTGCAAACATCACATTGTACCGCAGTTTTCTTTTAAACTTTTATCTTATATATGTGAGCACATCTGTATTAGAAATCTTGCACAATCATTCAAACAGATCTTCTCTAATTTCTCTTTTCCTCTAAAATTTCAGGTATAAGCCCCCAGCATGAGGGGAATGTGGAAATAACAAGATACTTATATTTGTAGTCTTTTGGTAAAATTTAGTTCTCGCAAATTTCTTTTTATTCTAGGGGCAATTTTGTATTTTTTTTTTTTCCTTTAATGGAATGATACTGCAACTGTCCTTCATTTCCTCTTGTTACTCCATCTGTCTTCAATATTTCCTAACGTGTTTTTTTTTTTTTTTTTGGTTGTAATATTGTATTAGAGTAAGTGAAACAGTGATAGAGTACCAGCTGACGCTAGGTGCTGAAGTTATGACTCTAATCACAATATGGTCAGTGTTAACGCGTAGAAGCTGGCTTGTTAGTACTGATATTTTATACGAGTTTGAAATATTTTTCTACCAACAGCTTCTGTGTTGCGCCATCTTATATAAGTTGAAATTCTAATGTTTTTTCAAAAAACAATACATGGTTTTAAAATAGATTAATTTATAAAAATAAGTCAATCATCGCTTGATCACATTAGTAAATAATAAAATAACAATACTATCTATTTCATTTTATATTAGCTAATCATTCTTTTTTAACCAACAATTACAATAGTTATTCTATCCACGCACACTACGGTTTCATAGATATAGAAGTTATAGAAACTCACCTTTGATTTTAAAAGGCCATAATCTAATCCTAAGCATTAGAATTTTAAGCCTCTAATCCACATAAGATTTTGAAATAGGTTCCCATGTTAAAGAATTTTTTAAATCACACTAATTATTTACATATTTTTAGTTCCTATATTTTGAAAAATAAAAGGACAGTGGCAGTTAAGTATGATTTTGCGCATCATTATTCCCCTGAATTTCGTTTGACAATCTAGGAATCTTCAAATTCATCAGGGTATCAATCAGGACCCTACGAACTTTGCCAAAGTTTTTGGAATCAATGATTTCTTCTACAGGACATTCGTGATTGGGGCTATGCTTCATTTAGTTCAGAAACCTTAATAAACAGTCGGCCTGCAGAGATTTCCTTTGTTTCATCTAACTAGATAATTTCTATGGAGAAAATTAAAAGGAAGAGCTCCATCATTTGTCAGATTGCATTCTTTGTCCAGAATGAATTCTTGAATGGATTTGTCTTCAAGAAAACTAGCAGTGATACTGATATTGAGTATTGCTTGTCCAATTGGTTTGAGTCTTTGACTCACTTACAAGAAGAATCTCTTTAGCGTAATATTTTGTTGCAGTATATCCAATCTCTGTTAGCTTGTTTCAATCCTGCAAGCCTCCATGTTTCTGACGATAATTACTTGTTCTTAACCCTCACTATTCACTTGAGAGTTAAATCCAAATTTGATTAACTTAATAGTGAGTTAGAAACTAGGCACTTTCTTGATCCTATGGCAACAATAAACGATAAATCCCTTGATAGATTTAAGATGAAACTTCTTCAGCTAGAGATCTCACTTATGATTTCTAGCCCAATATAAATTATTTGTCTGATATTGTTTCTCTAAATTATTGGATATCCACTTCAAATATGGATTAAAGACTTTATCGAAAAGGTTACAATAAAATGTATTTAACGTCACCGTACCTACAAAGTAAAAGAAACATTAAAACACTAAAACCTTTCTCTGCCAACATTTCCAAAAATAAATATCTAACTACCAACAATAGTAATATCTCATTTATAAAGGATTTTCATTACCCAAATAGGGTTTGCCAATAACTCCAAAATTTTAAAATGCAAATTACATTAATAATGACATACTTGGAAGGTAAAATTTATTATCAACACGAATATAGTTTCGAACAAGACATGGTCATAATTGGACTCACTGTAGCTGAGCTAATGATCACTAAGTGTAAATAGCACTTGCAATATCTTAAAAATATATCATTAATTTATTTGTAAATGTCATTATCATATGGATGGAAATAAAAATTTCAAATATTTGTAATTTATCAATCCCATTAATTAGAACAAGGAATAAGAGCTAAGTCTGGTAGGCCGTTAATCTAAACCCATTTTTTTAAGGATTTAGGTTTTAAAAAGTAACATTTTTTTGGGAAAACGGGGCTTAATAGGCCCTAAAAGAATAAGCTCGGGTAGCCCTTTTAAGCTTTTTTTCCATTTACCTTTAAAAAATATTTTTCAAATTTTAAATTAAATTTAAATTTTAAAAATATATGTTTATAATTTAAAATTTATATTATTTATTTTTAATTTTTAAACATTATAATTGTATTTCAAGAATATGAAATATTATAATTAAAATTTTTAAATTTTAAAAAATCAAAAAATAAAATAAAAAATAAAAAAGGACTTATGAACCCAACTCTAAACACTTTAAATAAAAAGGGTTTTAGATATTAATTAATTTTAAGAAAATTAGGCTTAAAGGCCGAGCCCATGTTGGATAGGGAGGCATAGTGGAAGATTAAAATTTTAAATTTTCTATCCTGATATGGCCCAAATGAAATCGTTTAAGTCAAAGTGGAAAGAAAAGTTACCTTTTTCTTATCGTGCTTCATATGTGTTCTCTTCAAGAGTCTAGATTTTAAGAGCTAACAACGTAGATTTGCTCCCACTACCAGTATCCACAAGAATAACTCTCTAACTCGAATAGCGTGCTAATGCTTCCAATGTCCATTCATCTTTGAACGTCAGTTTACTTTTTCTCTAGAGTGTTTTGTAGCTTTCAAAGTGTTTGGTTGTCAGAACTTTTCTAACTCTCTTAAACTCAGAGCACATCCCTTTTCTATCTTATTTATAGATTAGGGTTTTGCTTTCTTTTAATGAGTTAATGAAAATATTAGATTAAATTTATCTTATAAATTTAAACTATAGAATTAATATAATATTCTCTCATATTATGTTAGTTTTTAAATTTAATCTATCATATAAAAATAAATTTAACACTAAGACAATATAATATAATATAATATATATATATTATATTATATATATATAACATAAAATTATATTTTGAATTTTATATTTCATATAAATATATATATAAATATTTATCAAATAAATATTTAAATATATATATATATATATAATTCACCCTATATTACATTTATTGAATCTAGACATATTCTAGATTTATTGAACTTTGACATTATAGCTCGAGCTGGGCTGTTCTTGTGTGCGACCCTGTAGGCCCATATGAAGTTAGTAGTAGACTAATTATGCTATTAGCCCACAAGTCACAAGTAGCTTCTAGCAAGACATTGCAACTACCCAATTCATATGGGGATCGATGATCCGATGTAACCTATCATGTAACCGTATTACATCTCTTTTGTCACGCAATATTTCGATCAAATGTGAGATATGAAATTGTTATTCTCTTTTACCTGACCATTACTTTCTCGATCTCTAAGAGGATTAACTGTAGCAACGGAAAAACCCTTTCCATTATAGTATAGCCATACATTTTCTTAGTCTTACTCATCAAAAAGCCCAATAATATCTCTTACTTAACATGAGAGACAAATTTCATTTCAACTACTCATATTCCTCTGCATGAATATCACTAAACTCAATCATAGTCTTTATGATCACTCAATCAAAGGTGACTTTTGACTAAGTTAAAGTTCAGTGATCATCATGTAGGAATCCATAATGATCTCAGGTCAAAGGCTTAATGATATGGTTACATATGAGATAAATTTATAACTTGAACCATGCAGCTTTCTCATAGCGAGTCAGTCCAGCACCTTATACTCTTTCAAATGCCTATGACTTTGATTTATATATCTATAATTAATTAAAGTCATACTAGTTTTATTTCATCAATGCTCCCTCATAGATGACCGACCAGGGACATTTAGGATAATCACTATAGTTTGTCCAAGGATACAATTATAATAGTAAATATGCAATTGATATAATAATAAAAGAAAAATTTATTAAATAATAATGTGCATAGTACAATTATTGACCCTATAGCACAATTGTTAATAGCCCACCCATTTCTTACCTCTAACTTTAATGAATCGATTTTCAATAGTCGAACATTAAACATAAGGCTTATGATATAAAGGATTTACGTATCCAAAACATCAAGAGTGACATAAGTTATAAGCCCATAAAGCACAATATTTACAAAGTCCAATCTCCTTTTTTCTTCAATGTCCAGAGAGAAACTAATAGCCCAAATGAGATGATAAGGGATAATTTTTTGAATCTAACAACTCCCACTTGAATTATCCTTCCAAAGTATTCCAAACTTAAAGCATATTTCCCTTCAAATTGAGCCTTCTCCATGGCTACAATTAATATTACATGATGCATCAAACTTTCCCCCTTCTCGCAAGAAGTTAGAAGACATCAATAACTTATATTTAGGTTGTAACATTAAACGACTTTACGAACTAGGGCATACTCTTCAAAGTCAACTCCACACAAAATTCAAGAGACGCTCCCTAATACCAAATATCCCGTCAAAGTTGAGTGCTATCAAGCACCAAGTAATAGTAAGCTTAATGCACTTTGTCAACGTTACACGCACATATATATGTACATATACATATACATATATATTTCAAAGTTGAGTGCTATCAAGCACCAAGTAATAGTAAGCTTAATGCACTTTGCCAACATTATATATACAAATACACACACATATATACATATGTATATATATGTGTGTGTAATTTCTCAAAATAAAATATTTTAAAAAGTGTATATAAAAATACTTTTAAAATTTATAGAAATTTTGATTTAATATTTTAGGTGAAATGAAAAAATTGATTTGATAAGATGTTTACACTTTTATTCAATTATTATAAAAATTGCATACGTATAAAAATTATTTAGAAGACATAATTTAATGATAAAAGTTTTGAATTATAGAAATTATATAATTAATTCTAAAACTATATAATCTTATAATATATGACTTTCAAATATTCAATTAAGCCATTGTCGCTAGAAATGTTGTCTCAAATACCCTTTCCCAATGAGTGAATTTAATCACTTCCAAACAAA